GACAATGTTTTACCTTTGTATAAGCTTGCTAGGATTCCTGACCGTAACAAAGTTTTATCTTTGTATAAGCCTGCTAGGATTCCTGACCGGGACAAAGTTTTGCTATGTAGACTGGGACAAAGTTTTACATTTGTATTAGCTTGCTAGTATTCCTAAACAGGACAATATTTTTCCTTTGTATAAGCTTGTTAGGATTCCTGACTGGGACAAAGTTTTACTTTGTATAAGCTTGCTAGGATGTGTACTGATCGCGACAAAGTTTTGCTATGTAGACTGCGACAAAGTTTTATCTTTGTATAAGCCTGCTAGGATTCCTGACCGGGACACAGTTTTACCTTTGTATAAGCTTGCTAGGATTCCTGACTGGGACACAGTTTTTCCCTTGTATAAGCTTGCTAGGATTCCTGACTGGGACACAGTTTTTCCTTTGTATAAGCTTGCTAGGATTTCTGACCGGGACAATGTTTTACCTTTGTATAATATTGCTAGGATTCCTGACCGGGACAAATTTTTACCTTGTATAAGCTTACTAGGATTCCTGACCGGGACAATGTTTTACCTTTGTATAAGCCTGCTAGGATTCCTGACCGCGACGAAGCTTTGCTATGTAGACCGGGACAAAGTTTTACTTTTGTTTCAGGTTGCTAGGATTCCTGACTGGGACAAAGTTTTACTTTTGTATAATCTTGTTAGGATTTCTGACCGGAACTAAGCTTTACCTTTGTATAAGTTTGCAAGGCTTCCTGACCGGGACAAAGTTTTACCTTTGTATAAGCTTGCTAGGATTCCTGACCGGGACAAAGTTTTGCTTTTGTATAATATTGCTAGGATTCCTGACCGGGACAATGTTGTACTTTTGTATAATATTGCTAGGATTCCTGACCGGGACAAAGTTTTACTTTTGTATAAACTTGCTAGGATTCCTGACCAGAACAAAGTTTTACCTTTGTGTAAGTTTGCAAGGATTCCTGACCGGAACAAAGTTTTACCTTGTATAAGTGTGCAAGGATTCCTGACCTGGACACAGTTTTACCTTTGTATAAGTTTGCAAGGATTCCTGACCGGAACAAAATTTTACCTTTGTATAAGTTTGCAAGGATTCCTGACCGGAACAAAGTTTTACCTTGTATAAGGTTGCTAGGATTCCTGACCGGGACAAAGTTTTGCTATGTAGACTGGGACAAAATTTTATCTTTGTATCAGCTTGCTAGGATTCCTGACTGGGACAAAGTTTTACTTTTGTATAATCTTGTTAGGATTTCTGTCCGGGACTAAGTTTTAACTTTGTAGAAGTTTGCAAGGCTTCCTGACCGGGACAAAGTTTTACCTTTGTATAAGCTTGCTAGGATTCCTGACCGGGACAAAGATTTACTTTTGTATAATATTGCTAGGATTCCTGACCGGGACAATGTTTTACTTTTGTATAATATTGCTAGGGTTCCTGACCGGGACAAAGTTTTACTTTTGTATAAGCTTTCTAGGATTCCTGACCGGAACAAAGTTTTACCTTTGTGTAAGCTTACTAGGATTCCTGACCGGGACAAAGTTTACGATGTATATATGCTACCTTTGTAAAATTATTTTACATTTTCAGTCTGTGATGATGAATTTATGATGGCGTGTTGCTCTGTGTTGTATACACAGTACAAGCTTGTGACGTTATAGCGTCTAATAAGGTTGAGTCACAGGTTTAAACACACATCGTACATTGAAACTAAGAGTTCAGCTGAAATATTACAATCGGACAGAACTGTTCCTTATATCTCGTGGTCCCAATCGCTGTATTGATAGGCTATGCATCCCGGCGTCAAATCCATCAATATCACGTATGTTGTAACGCCAACTCCATCAATATCACGTATGTTGTAACGCCAAATCCATCAATATCACGTATGTTGTAACGCCAAATCCATCAATATCACGTATGTTGTAACGCCAAATCCATCAATATCACGTATGTTGTAACGCCAAATCCATCAATATCACGTATGTTGTAACGCCAAATCCATCAATATCACGTATGTTGTAACGCCAAATCCATCAATATCACGTATGTTGTAACGCCAAATCCATCAATATCACGTATGTTGTAACGCCAAATCCATCAATATCACGTATGTTGTAACGCCAAATCCATCAATATCACGTATGTTGTAACGCGTCATAATCGTCAAAGTATGAAATAAATGTTAGTGTTTGTCTAGCTGGTTCAGTTAGTAACATATCCGTTTCATGTCTATCCTGACGTCTCGGACGATACATAAGCTACATTTGGCCTTGTAGTGTGTCGGAATAAAGAAGTTCACGTGTGTCTTTCTCTCATTAGGTGTTAATAGTCCCTGACGTGTCGGACTGTAGAGGTAAATATGTGACTCTCCAACAAGGTGTATAATCCCTGACGTGTCGGACTGTAGAAGTTAATATGTGACTCTCCAACAAGGTGTTAATAGCCCCTGTCGTGTCGGACTGAAGAGGTTAATATGTGACTCTCACCAGGTGTTAATAGCCCCTGTCGTGTCGGATTATATAGGTGTATGTCTGACTTCCTCCCACCATGTATTAATAGTCCTTGACGTGTCGGACTGTAGAGGTCCACGTGTGACTTTCTCTCACCAGGTGTTTATAGTTCCTGACATGTCGGACTGTAGAGGTTTACTTGTGACTTCTCTCTTACCAGGTGTTTATAGTCCCTGACGTGTTAGCACTGTGGTTGCCCTCTACGCTGGTGTTGACCAATTTACGATCGATCACACATCCTAGATGTCATAAACACAAGAGAAGTCACAAAGCACGCGAGCTTTAAAGTGAACCGTCCACAGCATAACAACGTGCACATAATGAGCCATTTCTCATGCCATAATTAAACTTGACATAACGAATGAGGTTATTATTTTTTTAAAGTATGGTAAGGGCACCCTCTTAGCGTGTCGATTTTCACCTCAGAGCCCGCTTATATGGGGAAATGATAGGCAAATAAGCGACCACACCCATAATAACTCAGTTGAGTGCGTTCGATGGCAGACAGGTCTATCTGATAGCTAGCAATAATGGTGTATGTACAGGACTAGTCTACTACTACTACACTCTCTTTGTCAGGGCCACAACACGCAAAACGTTCATTTAGGACAAAGAATCAGGAAAGCCAGACATTTTTGCACTGTTATACTATATGTTGTTGTACGCTGGTGAATGTAGGTAGCCGCGAGTGTATGAATGGGAGACAGGTCGAGCTCCTATTGGTTAGGATCTTACGTGATGATAGACAGTGTTGGGGCTGCTGGTATGGGGCTAACACCACCAGGAATTATAGTCGATAATATAATAACACGCCTCATAACAGAGCCTATCGTTACACGTGAACATAGGGACAAGGGCCTTCAGTAACGTTAGGGTTCGTTACAGGGAATTAGCTGGAACTAGGGATCCCCCGCCTGGCTCCTCAGAGGCAAAACTCTCGTATTACGATTAGTGGTGTCGCTCCACTTCGACGCTATACGGATGACGGCATACATAGGAGGAAACGTGTAAATTTCAATAGTGATTTTTTAAAGCATGTGAACGTCGGTGAATGATGGAGGGAAGTTACGAGTGTAGGATGTGAATACACGGATAAGCTGTACACACTGTTTATCTCGTATGTACACACACTAGCTTCGAGTCATGTGTGAGCTAGATATGGCATTATTATACTTCACTCGTCCACCAATGTCAAGACGGAAATATTTGGAATTTAGTTTTTCTATACCATGGGATTTACCTATCTAGTCGTTCTGAGGCCAGTCCGATGAATTATCGGACTCTAGGAAGTGTCCGAAATTGTGCCGCAATCAAATGGACATTACTTTTCAGCTGATGTCCAAACTAGGATCAAAGATTATTGTGGTTACTGTGGTTCTCTGGTCAATCTGTTCGGCGTTGTCCTCAGTCTTAGCTGTCACACAGGTAAATATCACCGCTGGTCATCCGTCAAAACAGGTGACGGCAGCTTTACTACAGGGGCGGAGTATCTATGACGCAGGGGAGGTCAAGTCGTCAGCTCGGGGGTCTTTTAGGATGACGTACTCTGATAAATAGCCACCAGTTCCCTCTACAAACAGACACACATACACACCATAACACGGAATTTATACACGGATACAGTATACTTTTATTGTACGTATACTAGTACCGTGGATGACCATTGACCACATTGAACTCAGGTCATACCTAATTAACGTACAGCCAGGTTACTGTTTATACCAGGGCTACTTTCAGATGTTTATAATTGGTATATGATATTTATGTAACCATCTATAATTACATCACCATTAACTGTGTACGTCACAGATGTACAGAGTTATGTATACATGTGCGTCAGGTTCTACTGATAAGTATGTAGAAGTAGACGTTATAAATATATGTAGGTTTGATTTTACTTGTCAATGTGTCGTCGACGCTGCTATACATACTGTGGCGTACATAAGTGTCCCTCAATGGACTTCTTACACGTGTAGCGGACGTAAATACGCGAGCATTTCCTGGCACCAGCTACATACAGTGGGCGTGGGGCGTGGGCAGTCCTCTTGACGGGGAAGTGATACTAGTACACAAAGCACAAAAACCCAAAGGCTCAGTATAAGCCAGCGTCATTAATCTACATAAGTTTCCTATTTAAATTACCCTAAAAATCAAGCCCTGATGATAAACTTAAATTTACCGAGTCACTATTCGTGACTAACTCTTTAATAGTTTACCCAGATAACATGAACCATTGTGTTGGCCTGCGTGAGGAACCTTCATGTTGGTGTATGTTCGGGGGAAGTTTGGGGAATCCCCGTGTTGGTGTAAGTTGGGGAACCTTCAGGTTGGAATAAGTTGGGAGAACCCCCGTGTTGGTGTAAGTTGAGGAACCTTCGACCTTCGTGTTGGTTGGTATATGTTGCGGAAACCCTTGCGTTAGTATATATTGGGGAACCCTCGTGTTCGTCTTTATTTTAGGGAAATATCGTGTTGGTGTATGTTGGGAGCACCCTCGTGTTAGTGCAAGGTGGAAGAAACCCTCGTGTTGGTGTATATTGAAGAACCCTCGTGTTGGTGTATATTGGGGGAACCCTAGTGTTGGTTTATGTTGGGGGAACCCTCGTGTTGGTGTATATTGGGGGAACCCTCTTGTTGGTTTATGTTGAGGGAACCCATGTGTTTGTGTATGTTGGTGAACTTTAGTGTTGGTCTTTATTTTTTGGAGAAACCCTTGTGTTGGTGTGTTTTTGGGGAACCCACGTGCATGTTGGGGGATTTTTGGGAAATATCTTGTCGTGGCTGTGTATATTAGGAAACCTAAATGTGTGTTTATGTTGGAATCATAGTTTTGAAAATATCATAATTAACACGATTTCTTGTGGATGAGATATGTTTGATGTACTCATACTCGCTTAACTTCTCCATTATTCATGTACCATCCTAAGTGGATGTGATACCTATCTTCAGATATACGAACAAAGTACTGATTTTGTATGTTATCAGTAAACATTTAGTTGGAAATACAATATTTTCATAGTGATAAAATTTGAATCCACTGCAAGTGCTCTGTAACGCTACCATAACATTCCGAATTGCACGTGAACGCTAAAATGCCACCCCGGATAATATATGTAGCTAAAATGACATTTCAAATATCACGTGAACGCTAAAATGCCACCCTGGATAATATATGTAGCTAAAATGACATTTCAAATAGCACGTGAACGGTTGATAGATGTAGCTAGAACGACATTGCGACTATCATGTAAACGCTTAGAATTGTCCATCTGAATTTTTTTAACGCTAAAATATCACCCTGAAAATTATGTAAGGCTGAAATGTATCGCTGAAATTTCGTCCCGAATAATTTAAAACGTTAAAATGTCGTTCCATGAAATATTAAACGCTAAAGTTTCATCTCGAATAGCGTATAATGCTAAACGTCATCCCAAATAATATATAACGCAAAAATGTCATTCCGAACATCAAATAACGATACATTTGACAGCCAAGTAAGTTGTATCGCTGAAATGTCATCACAAATAACATGTAATGTTGAAATGTCGTTCGATGTACAAATGCCATCACTAATAATATAAAACACTAAAATGTCATCACGAATAACATGTAATGTTGAAATGTCATCACTAATAATATAAAACACTAAAATGTCATCACGAATAACATGTAATGTTGAAATGTCGTTCGATGTACAAATACCATCACTAATAATATGTAACACTAAAATGTCACCCCGAATAACATGTAACGCGAAAATGTCATCACTAATAATATAAAACACTCAAATGTCATCACGAATAACATGTAATGTTGAAATGACATCACTAATAATATAAAACACTAAAATGTCACCCGAATAACATGTAACGCGAAAATGTCATCACTAATAATATATAACACTAAAATGTCACCCGAATAACATGTAACGCGAAAATGTCATGACTAATAATATATAACACTAAAATGTCACCTCAAATAACATGTAACGCTAAAATGTCACCTCAAATAACATGAATGCTAACATGTCATCACTAATAATATGTAACACTAAAATGTCACCTCAAATAACATGTAACGCTAAAATGTCACCTCAAATAACATGTAACGCTAACATGTCATCACTAATAACATGTAACGCTAAAATGTCATCACTAATAATATGTAACACTAAAATGTCACTCCAAATAACGTGTAACGCGAAAATGCTATCACTCATAATATATAACTCTAAAATGTCACCCCAAATAACATGTAACGCGAAAATGTCATCACTAATCGGAAGTGAAATAATTTAAATATCATCGTAATACCAACATTTCACACTGAATAGCATGTTTCGTCATTGTCTATGAAGTGAAATAATTGAAACATCATCGTAATACCAACATTTTTACAAAGAAGCGCCGTGATGAGCGCCTTTATCCGCCGAATGGCTATCCGTCCTATCGTTTGACGATCACCTGTTACAATACATACATCTGTTGTTATGAAACCTTAACTTGATTTAGGAGAAAATGAACAATTACGAGATGGTCTGATTGTATTGTGACATTTTGTCATCAATTGTCCCCTCCGTGATCAAATTGAAAATATTAATACGCGTCAGAATATTTTAACATAGAAACGATGGACGATAAATCAACTTAGATAAACATCAGGTGATACTTGTCCCTATCAAAATATTAAAATGAATTTCATGTGGAAAATATTACTAACATACAATAATGGAAAAACGAGACGTTTCTGATACCCTATTTCATCTTCTGTAAGATCAATGTGTGTAGTGTATGGTAAACTGAACTTATCCTGGGATTTTCTAAAGATGATCTTAACTGGTTTATGACTTATTCTCACTTTGTCTTTTACTTGTAGTACAATTCTGATAAAACTGTCCTCTGATTCATCTGTTACTAGTGTGATATGGTAACAATCCGTATTATTGAAAGTCAACAAGATGTTATCGGCACTGTTGTCCGTATAACACTAACCCTTGAAAACGGAAAGAAAATGTGATATTTAGACATTTGACTCTAAAATACAAAAGATTGAAACCAAATAAGATATATTTTTTTCTTGATTTATTTTCATAAGTTTCAAACATCAAATGATTCATACTTTTGTGAATACAGACTATTCCGATGTATAGGGCAATAGTGATCAAGTGTTTGAAATTCAATTAGAAATATAAGAGAAAATAAATGAGAAAAAACCCGAGACATTGTCAAAAACTGTATCTTTGGTTGAAATAAAAATATAATCTTCTTAGTTTCCCCCCCCCCCTGAAAGTTCCTAAAATCCAAACTCTTATTGAACGTTTAAAAATGTAAAAGACAATTCGACTCGGGGCCCGGGGAAACTTGTGTCTGGACTATGTCGGGGGTTCTGTGTTTTCTAGGGCCCCGGGGAAACTTATGTCGGGTTTTTTGTGTTTACGTTACGTTACATACATTGTATGTACAATACAATAAGTAACATAAATTGTAGATACAATACAATGCGTAACATACATTGTATATACAATACAATACGTAACATACATTGTATGTACAATACAATACATAACATACATTGTAGATACAATACAATACGTAACATACATTGTAGATACAATACAATACGTAACATACATTGTATGTACAATACAATACGTATCATACATTGTATATATAATACAATACGTAACATACATTGTATGTACAATACAATACGTAACATACATTGTATATACAATACAATACGTAATATACATTGTATATACAATACAATACGTAATATACATTGTATGTACAATAAAATACGTAACATACATTGTATATACAATAAAATACGTAACATACATTGTAGATACAATACAATACGTAACACACATTGTATGTACAATACAATACGTATCATACATTGTATATACAATACAATACGTAACATACATTGTATGTACAATACAATACGTAACATACATTGTAGATACAATACAATACGTATTGTGTGTCAAGACAAGTCGCTTTCAATGTTTTCTGTTCCACATTAATTAATTGCATGTGTTCGCATTGTGGTGAAGAATCATTGTGGTACAGAATATATTTATGAATATGATTTAAAGATACGGACATCCTGCTTTACATAATTGCTTTAATTTTCTATATGTGAATGAACATTTTCACCTTAATCTCATACGAATAATGAACCTTAAACTTTGACTAATTATATATGCTCCGTCGTGCTCCGAGAACCCCTGACTAATTAGAGTAGCTCCAAGAACCCCTGGCTAGTTAGAGGTGTTCCGAGAACCCTTGGGTAATTAAAGGTTTTTCTGTGTTTATGACTTATCATTCCAGTGTTCAGCAATTTAAGAAGTATACCATAATATATGCTACCCAGTGGTACATTGTCGCCTGCATTGACTTATCCAGTGGTACATTGTC